GCAGGGCTGTTTCTCTCACATCCCCCTTCACCCAACAACACAAACAGAACAAAGAGACACAGTCAATCTCTTCTTTCACTCTTAAATAGAGTTATCTGCAGAGGCACCATTGGTCTGGCCTTGTCCAGAGGCGGGTCCGAAATTGGAGCCGGGGGAGCTTCTCGAAGCCTCTTACAGGAGCCACCTCTGTAGCCCCCTGCCCCACTACCAAAGCCGCGCCAAAACCCCCGCCAGACACCAAACCAACACACTCCCAAATTCTGCTTCCCTCTGTTCCTTCTATTTCCCTCTGTGCATTTACGCTGCTCCTAAAATGCCAGTAAATGTCAGCCTCCACCCCATAATGCTTATTTGTAGTGCTACACAAAGTAGTCCACAGAGTGATGTGAAGAATTTGCTAGAGTTGTTCATGTGCTTTATTTGCCACCACCACGTGCAGGATCCAATGACTAGCAAAGTAGCAGGTTGTTGCTGAGCTTGCTGTTCTCTTCACATTTGTACCATCTTTCAGCTATCCTGTTTGTCAGAGACTGTGAGGAAAAGTGGGAGACTAAGATTCTCCAAATGACAGACCTAAGACTACAGGGCTTCTTTCCAGAGCAGATGATGATAAATCTGATTACTCAGAGCAAATGTTATATCATTTCTTTTATTTAGCTTTCCCACAGAGGCTGGAGGGAAGGATTCAGAGAACAGGTTGTAGTCAGGGATGAGAGAGAAAAAGAAATTCTTGAAGGCAAGCAGGGAGGCAGAGGAGGCTTTTCACTTACAGGAATTTGCTGTTCATAGGAGGTGTTCCTGAGACGTTAAGATAAGCATGGCAGAAACGACCTAGGAGATGACTGTGCTAACATCTAGCTAAGCTGTCTACCTTACCAATGAGATACTGAAATTGCTTAACAAAATTAGTGGGCATAATCAATCTTCTAGCACATTGCTTTATGCAATTTGGATGTTGATTTTGTACAGTATTCTGTTTTCAGCAAGGTTGGTAATGGAATAAACTTTTATTAAAAAAATACAGTCTGGCTGGTCTTCCCTTCTGGTGTAAGTTAAACTGTAACGGCTCTCGTGGAGTGACTACCTCAGGTGTTATTACTTCTGTCTGTGGTTCTGTCTTTATTTTGTATTGGCTCACATTTCCAATGAGTTAGGTCTTATGAAATGTGTGGGGGGGGGGGTTCTATGAACTCTTGTAATGACTGTTTAGGGCACCTAACACTGGCAATTGGTGTTTATCTTTAATGTCCTGGTTACAATTGAGAAAGTATATCTTCTGGCATCTCAGTGCTGTTACTGGAGTATCAATTTTACACATGAAAATAAAAAATGAATAAATGAGCTAATACATTGTACTCAGTTAATGTAATGGTGCTAAATTTAGGCAAAAATGGTGAAATAAGGAGAACATAGGGAGAAGGGAGGAGAGTAATTTGTTGGTCCTGTTTTCAAATAGATAAAGAAGCACTCAGATTTTATGCTGAACTTGAGGTATTCTTCCTTAGTTATGGCAATATTGCCATAGAAAATTAAATTAAGTTCTTATAGGGCAGGCAATATTTTAATTACAGACCATTATGTCAAGCTTGTCTGTTCTTTTGGTATGTCAAATTTCAGATTAGCATCTCTAAGACAGAGGCAGACTTTCAATCCATTCCATATGTGTGGTTTACCAAGAAGGCCATTTTGGTGGTTGTATACTAGCCTAACCTGTTGTTAGCTGACCTGTTGTAAATAAATACTGAGGGAAAAGACGGAAGAATATTAGGAGGAACTGTTTAGGGAGACTAGGAAGGGTATTGCAAAATAATGAATAGGCCTGTAATTAACAAATAAAAGACTGATCCATCTAACAGCTAAGTAGTACTGCTGCTTTGGACTTCAGATTTTTTATGTATCTTAAAATGCTTTGTGTTTAATAGCTGTTAAGTTAGTTAGCTAGTCCACTGAGTTTGAGCAGTGCCCCTTGGTTTGCCTGGGAGGGACATTAAGTGAGGGCATGGTTTACTGTGCAAAGGCTTTTGGTTTTACTTTACAAAAAAGGTTTACTTCCAAAGGCTGTCCCAAGCCTGCAGTCGTGGACTGTGTAAGGGGACCAGCATCCACTGCTCTGTCAGAAGCAAATGATTTTGTTGTTTAGAGAGACTGAAAGTCATATTGCTGGAGAAGCTTTCAGGACTTGTGCACATTAAAGAATCCACTGTCCACTGGTAGACAATAGGGAGTCAGCAATGTTAATGACTTTAAGAGGTTTGGATTAGTCTAAGCATGAGGCTTCTAGTCTACAGTGATAATCCTTCATCGTTTGCAAATGTTTAGATCGTGTTTCAAAGACTTATAAGCCATAATGTAAATGGTCTGGGATAGTGCATTCACAAAAAAAGTGCTAAAACAAACCTTATCAGTAATTCTTAAATTTCAGCAGACATAATGAAAAAAAGGATGAGGGATTAACACATTGCAATACTTAAGCTATTTTAGGTAAGGTGTCACCAAATGTATTTAAATTCATGTATCTGTATTCCTTTCCAAGTCTAAGAACAGGCTGGCATTGACTCTAAGTGTAGAATTTCAGCCCAAGGCTTTTTTCAAATGTGAATGAAACTCACTGTTCGTTGCTATTACTATGTGACTGCTAGCCTGTGCTTCATGAGAATTTGATTTTTCATGGAAGTAGCAGTAGAATTCAATACCAAGATTCATACTAAAAATTATATTCTGATTTTCACATTAAGCAGGAAGTGGTTCTGCCTTAAAAATGCTTCCAACGGCAAATAACAACCCGTATGCCAATACAGAGTATAAATGCATTAAAGATTCCCCACCGTGTCCACTGCCAACCAAGTGACAAACTTGAAAAGGATTTAGCCAAAACCTCCCCACACACAAGCGGAAAGGGACAGAACCTCCCTGAAAATGAGTAGTTTCTACAGATGTAATTCAGGTGTCCTACGTTTCTCTGGCTGATCCACTGAAAGCCTTCCTGACAGGGAGGATGTAGCACTGGAAGCTGGCCTGATGTGACAGTGAGAGAAGTGAGGTGGTAGAGCAGCCTGCCTGGTGAGAAGATTGGAAAGGGTCACGACATCTTCTTTTGTAAGGAGAAAACAGCAGAGCTGCTTCAATCATACCACACGTATTGTGGGGAGAAAAAGCAGTTTCTAAAAAAAGATTTGGCTTTTAGTGAGTCCTTGATGGTTTATTCAGAGGAGGGTGAATACAGGAACTCCCGCACAAGTTCGTGCTCAGATCTGTATATCACAACTGAGGGAAAAGTTTTTGCTTTAGACTAAGGGTGCTTAAGAAAAGTAAGTTTCGGAGTTCTTCAGTGAGAGAAAGACCAATCAGCATCTTTGTTCAGAGCTACAATTGAAGGAGTCAAGTTGCATGTTGATACAACTCTTACTGCAAATTTCCTCACTAAGAGGGAACAAGGGGAGAGAAGAGAGGAGTAAGAGATTTAGGGTGTTGGTAGCTGATCTCCACAGACAAGTAACATGTATCTGCTTCACAGGTACCAAACATAATCACTGCACTGCAACAGCTGAGTTTGGTCAGCCCTGAGTGAAGAGTTACTGATTAGCTCAGACTTTATTTAGGGAATTAAGTCTACTTTCTTCAGGAAGGACAGGTTAAAAATATGATGCAAAAGTTCCCGTTCAGTTGCTTCCCTAATTTGCAGTCTTCCTCCTCTTAATTCTTGGATTGAGAACTTTAACATAACATCCTTACGTGTTTGAAAATCCTCCGTCTGAAAATAGCATTGAAATTAACTGTCCTTTATTTCTGACTTGAAAATCACATTAGGAAAAATTTCTTTACTGAAAGAGTGGTCAAACATTGGAGGAGGCTGCCCAGGGAAGTGGTGGAGTCACCATCCCTGGAGGCATTAAAAAAATGTGTAGATGTGGCACTTCGGGACATGGTTTAGTGGGCATGGGGGTATTTGGTCAACAGTTGGATATGATGATCTCAGGGGTCTATTCCAACCTTATGATTCTATGTTTTTATGATATCTAAGCATGCAAACTGGAACAGTGGTTGAGAACAGTGCAGTATAAAGGAAGCTGAGCTTGAATGCAGTCTTGTCCATGCGGCCTTTTAGGAGTGATCTCTGAATTGGACTGTCACCAAAAACGTGCTCAAGTGTTATATGAGAGAGCTAGTTGAAGAAGTCTAAAGCAGATCCAGAGAATAGGTAGGAAGGCATATGGGTCATCAAGGATCCAGTGCTCAGTTTTCTTTCCTGAATGTCTTTTATTTGGTAGTGCAAAAGTATGCTCTGAATCGTTGTATTAGACAATTAATGGAGTGCCGATAGTATCAATGTTGAAAAGTTCACCATACCTATTATTAAGGAAGTCTAAAGAATGGTTGTTTTGAGATGATAAAGAGTTGCTCAGGAGATGTCCAAAGAAACTTGAGAACCTACACTGTGATGAGATGGTGGTTACTGTCTAGTGCTTTTAAAATGTCGACTTTTCTAGAGCATGAAAAATGATTGAAAACTTACCAAAAAAATGAATGTAAAATGATATTGATTTAATTGAAGCTGTTGAACAATATTGAAGTAATTGAACGGCACTATAGTAGATTGCTAGCATTTTACGCTTACCTTCCTATGCAAGTATTTTGTAGTGGGTAATACAATGGAAAAGTGAGTCCAGTATTCATTTTTTTGTGTGTTTTTTGATTTACATCAAAGTGCAAATAATAGGTTTCTTTATAAGTTCTTTTTGACACAAGCTGAGAAGTACTGTACAAAAATGAAGCTATTTATTCACCCAGAAGATGTGTTTGTATGTTTCCAGCATATTCTACTCCAGATACTAGGCTTTTGGAGTCTTTCAAAAGTGGCATTTTAAAAGTGGAACAGAGAAGAATTTTCCTTCTTTCAAGAACTTTTGTTTATGATATTTGTAAATCCTCACAGTAAACCCACAACAATTAACCTCTTAGCTTTTCTCTCTCTTGTAGGGTGATAGCTCCTATGTAAAGGATCGTTGGTGTGTGTTTGATGGATTCATGGTCTTTTGTCTTTGGGTGTCACTGGTTTTACAGGTAATTATTTCACTTAGCTTTTTCAATTAATATTTCCTTAATTGTGAAAAATATATGGCACAACCAAATAATTGCGAGTTGTGGAAGTATAGCTGTACATGGATCAAATTGTTTTTTAAAAACTGTGCTGAATTCAGTAGCTCCATAATTGCACATTGCAGCATATCTACACTAGTAGTAGAATTTATCTTGTTTAATATTTTTTATTGAGAAGTTAAATGTTAATCTGAAGCTCCTTACCATGAACCCTCTGCATAGTCAAAAGGAGAGAGAAGGATCTTTAGAGAGCCACTGCTGTTTTTCTCTTACTCCATGTAACAGTTGTGCTCTCTCCTTCCATTTACTCTAGTAGGATGCCATGGTGACTAGCTTAGGCAACTGTATTTGGTTTGTGTGGCAAGGTTTTGGTTGTGGGGGGGTCTACAGGGGTGCTTCTTTGAGAAGTTGCTAGAAGCTTCCCCTATGTCTGACAGAGACAATGCCAGCTGGCTCAAAGACGTACCCACCACTAGCCAAGGCCTAGCCCATCACTGACGGTGGTAGCGCCTCTGTGTTTAAGAAGGGGAAAAAAGTTACTGCACAGGAGAATTGCAGCCAGAGAAAGGAGTGAGAATATGTGAGAGAAACAGCCTACAGACACCACAGTCAGTAAAAAAGGAGAGGGAGGAGGTGCTCCAGGCACTGGAGCAGACATTCCCCTGCAGCCTGTGGTGAAGACCATGGTGAGGCAGGCTATCCTTCTGCAGCCCATGGAGGTCGACACTGGAGCAGGCAGATATGCCTGGGTGAGGCTGTGACCCTGTGGGAAGCCTGTGCTGGAGCAGGCTCCTGCCAGGACCTGTGGCTCCATGGAGGGAGGAGCCCACGCTGGAGCAGGTTTGCTGGCAGGACTTGGGACCCTGCAGGAGACCCACGCTGGAGCAGTCTGTTCCTGAAGGACTGCACCCCATGGAAGGGACCCACACTGGAACAGTTCATGAAGAACTGTAGCCTATGGGAAGGACTCATGTTGTAGAAGTTCGTGGAGGACTGTCTCCTGTGAGAGGGACCCACACTGGAGCAGGGGAAGAGTGTGAGGAGTTGCCCTCTGAGGGGGAAGGAGCGGCAGAGATAATGTGTGATGAACAGACCACAACCCCCATTCCCCGTCCCCCTGCACCACTGCAGGGGAGGAGGTAGAGAAACTGGGAATAAAGTTAAGCCTGGGAAGAAGGAAGGTGGGAGGGGAAGATATTTTTAAGATTTGGTTTTATTTCTCATTATCCTACTCTGATTTGATTGGTAATAAATTAAACTAATTTCACTGAGTCAAGTCTGTTTTGCTCATGATGGTAACTGGTGAGTGATGTCCCTGTCCTTATCTCAAGCCACGAGCCTTTTGTTATATTTTCTCTCCTCTGTCCAGCTGAGGAGGGGAGTGACAGAGTGGCTTTGGTGGGCACCTGGGATCCAACCAGGATCAACCCACCACAGGGTTGGTAGAATGGTAGATGTTTGCCATGCTATAGGCATATTGATATGGTGACTGGAGAGGTTTAATATAATATGGCCCACACCTAACAAAACCTTTTCCAAAATTCAAGTTAAAGGACAATGGAAAAAATAGTAGTAAATACATTTGTGAACAATATTATAACTTTTCATAAAGAAGGGAACTAGGACAGATTGCAAAAAAGTGTAGAGCGTTAAGGTACAGGTCAAATTGTGTCCTGCAAACCAATCAGTCCTTAACCATAGCCAGTCTTTTGGGTAAGAACAGATTGAAGACTGTGAGGCTGGGCCAGCAATAGTGTAAGGACTGGAAAAGTTCTATAGTGATTGCTCTTAGGCATAACTTACCCACTTGTGACAATTTTAAGACACTTCGTAATTTTCTGCTTTATACACAGGAGAAGCTTTGGTACGTCATTCTGGACATGGTTTAGTGGGCATGGTGGTGTTACATTGACAGTTGGACTTGGTGATCTTAGAGGTCTCTTCCAACCTAATGATTCTATGATTCTATGATTCTGTGCAGAGTGAAGGTTGATTATTACAGATAAGCACCGTAGATCATCCAGTTTACGCGTTGCCCAGTTCCTCCTCTGTTTTCTTAGTACTTTGAGCAAATATTGAATTAAGCAGTTACTCTCAGAGAGTGAGAGACAAGGATTAAAACAAGACATTGTCACCCAATCATTAAGCTAAACAGTCTTTACAGAGTGCCTAACCTGCCAGTGCATTAAGGAAATGGTTCCCTGATCTGTGTGGCTTGGCTAAAATTTGTGTCGTAAGTGAAGTCTAGGAGAAGAACATGTACAGTTTTCTCATGCACTTGGAATTAAATGTAGAATATAAGCATGTTGCAACTCATAAGGCATATACGTATATGGACTTTTGTATCTTAGGAAAAACCTTAGTGATGTGCAACATTAACAGATGCTGATTTTCATATTTGGAAATGTAAATTGCTCACTTTTAATGAAGTTGTGAGAAACTTGTGGGCTAGGACTAGCACAGAAGCAGGCAGCTGACACAGGCTTGCACAGTCTTGAGTTGTTTGAGACAGAAGCATTATGAACATAGAGTATATTTTTGGAATTTCATTAGGATAACTTAGAAACGGATTAAAGGATTTACTAAGACTTCTCTTTTAAAAAACATGGTTTAAATGACTAATAAAATAAACCAAGAGAAGATTGAAAATGAAAATAAAAATCGTGTATAGTATTCATAGTTTTAAAAGTTCTGTAAATGAATACAGGAACAAAACGGGGTCATCACGAAAAAATGATTCTTTTGTTTGTAGGTGTTTGAAATTGCTGAAATAGTTGACCAGATGTCACCCTGGGGCATGTTACGGATTCCACGACCACTCATTATGATTCGAGCATTCCGCATATATTTTCGTTTTGAGCTGCCAAGAACTAGGATAACAAATATCTTGAAGTAAGTAAGGTTGTTATCTGAAGAACAACAGAGAAAATTTCAGGTTTCACTTAGAAGACTGACTGCGCAGCTCAGAAAATGACCCTTCATGCTTAATGGGCATTTTCTTCCTGAGTTTTAGTTCTGGCCAGAAATTATTGTTGGTATCCATATTTAAGGAATCATCAAGTTTCCTAGAAAATTATCAAAACCATCAAATGTTTGAATAAATCTTAAAGCATTTTGCTAATAACTATAGCTAGTAATTTTCTACCAATGGTAGTAAATTCTGTTCCATTAATATGGGCACTTAATAATTAAGGTGAACACTCTTAGTAGGGTAATATTCATAAATAAAAGTACATGAGCACATGCCCTAACCATTACAGTTATGAGTATACATGTATTGGTACATATATATGTACAGAGATGCTTACATGCAAGTAAACACACCTAAGTATGTCTGATACAACATATAAAGGCAAAAGCCATGTAATGGTAATATGAAAGACTATTTTGGTATCAACTTCATCATATATACATTGTCTATATAAGTCATTAGATACTATTCTACAAAAGCCATTATACATTTTATTTGGGTGGGGTTTTGTTCCACTCTTTGTACTTTACAGCTGGTTCAATTACCCTAACTTACGGGTTTAGAAAAAAATGTGGCTCCCTCTCTGCACAGAGAGGACGTATTTTCTACACATGAAAGCCTATTTTCTATTCTGGAGCTTTTCAGTGGAGGCTTCACTTTGCCTGTGCATTCAGTGTCCTATCTATCTTTTTGCCAGGCGTTCTGGAGAGCAAATCTGGAGTGTTTCAATTTTCCTACTGTTCTTTCTCCTCCTGTATGGGATCCTGGGAGTGCAGATGTTTGGAACTTTTACATACCATTGCGTGACCGACGACACACAGCCAGGGTGAGTGCATATGTGTGACTGTAATTAGCATCAGTGGGTGTGAAATGGACTTAATAGATTAAAATTAGTCCAACAAAATATACTAGGATAAATTGGGGAAACAAAAATGTTAGGAATTATGAAAAATGCACATTTTAACTGTGACAGATTACAAATTGTGCCATTTGGCTGCAGTCTGAGTTAGGGGGTGAGTGACTGTGTACGTATGGGGGTGTGTGAGAGAGCAAGAGAGCAGAGGAGGCTTTAAGAGAGGAGCATTGGCACTTGTGGGTGACTCGGGTCACTGATGATTCATCAGCTTTCACTGTGTTCTATCTTTTCCCAGAACATCTGTGTGTGGGGCCAGACCTAAAGCACAGGGCAGAACCACTCCTAGAATCTCACACCCTTTCTGGATTAAGAGATTTAGAATCCCTTTTTACCCAGCCTTTGGAAAATACTTATGATTAGTATTTTACACTGGTGATTGAGTATACATCACATTTTTTGTTCAGCACATACTTAAACACAAGATTAACTCAAAGTACAGTATAGCCTTTTGTCACTGGGATGGTCCATAAAATCATGGATAAGTATACGCTTTCATGTCCTGTTGAATTGAGGGCTTGACTGTATGCTCGACCACCATTATATTGTGACTCTATTACATCTATTTCTTCATTTTGTCCCTGTTTCTTTGGATAGGGAGATGTTAACTCTGAAGTTGTAGCTTTTGCTTTAGTCAAAATTGGATCCTTTTATTCCCGTATTGAATTTGTCAGAACATAAAATAAATAGAGTAGGCATTGTAAGAAAGCAAAACGCTGCTTAATCTGCTACTCTGCTGAATAGAGTCTGATTATTGCAAAACTCGGTGTTAAAGATTTCTCTAAAGTACAGCCTATAAGCTATCAAATACAAAATGAGGTTATTAAAAGTGGCAGAAACAAAAAAGGTTACAAAATTATTTGAGAATATGCTAGACATTATATGGTATTTTGTTAAATGAAAAAAAACCAACCAACTTTTCGGTATTTTCTTATTTAATCAATTCTGTAGTAAAATATGGGTCTGATCTTCACCTAGACTGGAAATGAGATATTTCATTCTGACTTTTCCTGTCTTTTAAGAGAAAATCTTTATAGTACAGATTCTTTTACAGTTTCCCATAGAGAAGGTGAAAAAAAATCTTTGTGAAAAATGCGTTTGTGGTAATGAGAAGATCTGTGATTCTGTGATTTTACCTATGTTGTTCGGAAAAACATGAAATGCAATAGACAACACAGGAAAGATTTGGCATCATATAATTGCTTTTCCCTGAAATCAGCAGAAGAAGATGAAATGAGACGTAATAATGTTTGCAATATGAAGAGTTAAGTTTGTAACTTTAAGGTTGCCATAAAAATTTTGTCTAATTTCTTCCGCATGTGTTGGTTTGCTCTCTGAGTACTGTTATGTATGTTAAAAAACCCAAGAAAGTTTACAGAAACACCTCAATTTTAGGTTGTTGAAAGGCTGAATACAGGAAAAGTTAAAAGTACTTAAAATAAAAATAAAAGCATGGCTGAAGTGGGTTAAAGTTGGAAAAGTCAATATGCAGATTTAATGAAATTTTAGACTTCAGGTTGAATGTCTAGCCTTAACTCCTTTTTCTTTCAGTATCATCAAGTATATGTAATTTTAGCTGTTTAAAAATTAGAAATCTAATTTAAGTTACTTTTTAGGTATCTGGGATAGGCACCTTCAGAAAGTAATTAATCACTTTTGCCATCTCCAAACCAAACTTGTAACTTTAAATGATTCCTATGGTTGTGTATGAGTTACAAGGAAAAACACTTTTTCCCTAGAAGTGCTGCCTCATTTACTCTGACAGATGGTGCTGACACAAAGAACAATCTATTTTTTTTCTTTGTTGCTTGACATGTGGATTTATACCTTACTTTTTACATACTGCTCATTCCTACTCTGAAAACACTTATTTCCTCTTCTTGTCTGTAATATTGATTGTTATACCTTGTGAACACTTAGACATAATCTGATCCTTTTCTAATTTTTGAGGAATGCAGTGCAGAAGCTCTTGGTGGAGTTAGGCTCTGTCTTCTTTGTGTAGGTCAGGGCTGACCTTCTCAGAGCTGGCTGCAGGATTTATAAGAAAAACCATCATGGGCTGGGAAGATAAATATAGAGAAAGAAATAACAGTTCTGGTGCCAAAAAGAGGACAATTTAGAGGCAGACATTGGTCCAAGATGTAGTTAAAAAGGAGGTGACACACCACTTCTAAATCCAGGAGAGTTTTATTAGCTGAGATGTAATAGAGCACAAATGCACAAAAATTGCTTAGACAAATTTTACTTTTGTCTTTGAGGTTCAGTTTATCAACTTTATAATAAGGATTAAACATTCCTCTCAGAAGTTGAGCCTGCCTGCCTGACTGTCTGTCTGTCTGTCTCAGGTGGTTCTGTTCCAGGCAATGGAGAGTGGCCCAGGTTGGCTGTTCTTGGCCTCAAATAATTCAGAGTCTTTAATGAGCCACAGCTGTAAATACTCAGTATTTCTGCAAACCAAATTCTAGGCTCTCAAGTCAAGATTAGAAAATGAAAAGGATCCAATTAGTGGCCACCTGTGAGAACTTTAATTTTAGGTAATTTGCCTCATATTACAGAGAATTCTATGGCAAGCAGCAAGGGTAAAATTATTGAGGTCAAGACTTCATCTATTTTAGAAATCACTCTTTTTAAGTCTACTGCCTTCTGAATTATTATTATAAGGGAGGCAAGTGTCTTTTGAAAACGGCGTCTTAAAATCTTGCTATTCTTTTTTTATTTGAAAGGATGTGGCAGCCTCATCAGACATCCATTGCCTCTTTGACTGCTGCAAGTTCTTTTCTCTTTCCATCCTTCTTGACGCCCACACTGCCTGACCTCCTGTCTCTCCACCTCCTCAGTCATTTTCTAATGTTAACTCTGACAAACAGAAATACCGAAGTGAGCTAACCGTGGTCTGAGTTTTTCATTCTATCCATGAAATCATCAAAATCTGACTTTTTTCCAAAGGCTGAAAAGGGTTTTTTTTGTTGTTTGATGATACATTTTTTTTCCTCTCATTCTTATCATCTTGTTTATTTTGCCAGACTTTTTTTCCCTATGGGGAACATTGTCTTCTTCCTAGATAATTTTCTCACTCAATATTCCCTTATGATTATTACTTACCTTGTTACAACTCTGCTGTCACAGCTTTTCCCTGATGATTTCTGCAACTGGTATACATTTTTCTCTGCCAGTAAGTGGTGTATTACGTGGATTTCCTTAGTACAGATCTTCTTTAATTGCTTGAAAGTATGGTTGGACCGTAATGTATATGTAATCTAATTATCTAGGTAAGTCCATATATTATATGCAGTTTGACAGGTTATTTTGTTATATCTGAGGTTAATTTCAAAGAATTGAACAACTACGGTGAAAATAGATTGTGTTCCAAAATCTACAGTTATTTACTCTTGGACACATCCAGTATACAAAAGGTACTTACACAAGGATAGGAGAGAGAAATTATTTCCAAACCATTGCTCTGTCTGCTAGAATATTTTATATATCCTTACCCACTAGCTACTGAGTGTTTTCTTTTTTTTTATTACCAAAACATGTTTGACTACACAAAAATACTTTCATATTGCATGATTAGATTATATGTATTCCACAACGGTAAATTTTCCTTTTGTAATTCTCAGTCTGCACTGGAGCTAAGGGAGAGGAAGCCTCATCAAAATAAAGAAGGCTAATACGGCTAGCTGCTGTAAAATGTAGTGCTTCTCTATTTCTTCTCCCAAAGTCATTCGTTGAGGGCCTTTTTTTAACACTTTCAGTAGGGTATAGTCTGAGTATTTCTGTAGACCTGTCTGCCTTGTCACCATAGCAGTCAATTTAAAATTCTTCTTTGCAAGGTTTCTTGTTTAAAGTAGGAACTGCCCAGGAAAATAGATAAGAAAAATAATTACCCAGTAATAGAAAGATCTAAGATGTTCTTGGTCATCTTTCCATCTGTCTATGGATAGGCCCCGAAAATGTCAGAAAACAGCTTCAAAGACTCTGGAGCTGAAAGTTCACCACAATATCTAATAGAGGAAATAGATATGATTAAAAAGAACAAAAGGGATTTCAGATACTGTCTTACATCAGCAGTGGGAAAATAAGAATGAGTAATTGGATTTCTGAGAAAGGGAAGAAGTCAAAGACCAAGCTTGAAAAATCAACTTAACAGGACTTCTTTAACAGGGCACATTAATTTATTGATGCTAGTCGAACAAACAACACTGCTTTAATATTGCCTTTGGGATTTATTCACAATCTCTCTTAATGGTCATATGTCTCTAGCATAAACTCCTCATGGAGAAGAGAAATGGAAGAAGTCTTACTTTTCCAGGCCTGACGTTGTTTAGACCCCAACCAAAATCAAGAAAAATAAAGCATCAGTCTAAACCAGATGTAATTCAGTCCAAATGGGATCCTGTCAAAAGAGTTCTGAGGTGATGGCCAGTATTGGTGCCCAAGGGAAGTGGTCTTCAGGAGTGGGACTCCCCTCACTTTCACAGGGCACGTGATTTCTGAGCAGAAATCCTAATTTTTGTCTAGAGTTGTTATACAGACAATTATCCAAAGCAATTAGACTGCTGATTCATTTCACACAGGCTTTCCAGTGGTTTTGTATGTCCAGCTCCATTTTGAGCAAGAAGGTGACCTTTTCATTAAGATCTAGGGTAGAATGATGGGAACCCAATAGCCTTAGCTCTTGGTGGCTCAGTAATGACACGTGCTTATCTGTATTAAGCTTTGGAGCCAATTGGGTTTGCACAATTCTTTGTCTCACTGCAGACATCAAAGTTTATTGAACTTCTGCTCAGCCTTTCAACTTTTATGGAATTTCTTTCCTCTGGCTAATAAGTCCTTTTGAGTAAGATGGAGTAGATTTTCTAGATTATTGTGAAATTGGCTGACTATAAACACAAGAATTTAATAACATAACT